CATTTTACGAGGCCACATCATCACTGATACAAAGCCTGACAAGATACAACAAAAAAAGAACTTTTAAGAGCCAAGTGAGTGCGCGTGATAAACATCAATTGCAAAAATCCTCAATAACTAATACCTTGCAATGCTATTTTGCACGAAATCCAGAGCACATCAAAAAGCTTATCCACCATCATCAACGTGCTTCATCCCTGGGATGCAGAGACTGGTTCAATATATCGTAAATCAATAAAACGTAATCCAGCATAAAAACAAGAACCAAAGACAAAAACCCACGATTATCTCAAATAAGTGCAGAAAAGGCCTTTGACAATAATTCAGCAGCCCTTCATGCCTAAAAAACTCTCCAAGTAAATTGTATATTGAAATGGAACCGTATCCTCAAATAATAAGAGCTATGTTACTGACATAACCCACACCAATATCATACGGAATGGCAAAAACTGGAAGCATTCCCTTTGAAAAACTGGCACAAGACAGTGGATGGCCCCTCTCTTCACCAACTTCCTCATTCAACATTAGTGTTGGAAGTTCTGGCTAAGGGCAATCAGGCAAGAGAAAGAAATCGGTATTCAGTAGGAAAAAAAAGAAGTCAAAATTGTCCCTGTTCCAGTTGACTGATTGTATATTCTAGAAAACCCCATTGTCCTCAGCCCCAAAATCTCCTTAAGCTGCATAAGCAACTTCGCACAAGGTCCAGGATACAAAATCAATGATTGGCAAAACTCACAGGCATTCTTATACCACCCGTAACCAGCACAAACAGAGAACCAAATCATGATGAACTCCCCATTCACAATAGCTTCTAATATATCAGAATTAACAATACCAGGAATCCAACCTTACAAGGATTTAAAGGACCCCTTTCAAGAGAAATAACAAACCACTCTTGCTCAGTGAAGTAAAAGAGGACAACAGGCACAAATGATAGAACATACCATGTGCTCATGGATACGGGAAAATCAATATTGTGCAAAATGGGCCATACTGCCCAACGGTAATTAATAGATTCAATGCCATCTCCCATTAAGCTACAATGATATTCTTTACAGAATTGAAAAAACTGGCTTTTAAAGCTTTCATATGGATTCAAAAAAGACCCGCATGTCCAAGACAATACCTAAAAGCCAATATGATCAAATCTGGAGGCATCACTGAACTACCTGAACTTCAAACTATATCGTACAAGGGCTACAGTAGAACCAAAAACAGCATTGTATCTGGGTACACAAAACAGAGATATACACGAATGGAACAAAACCGGAAACGCCTGCCAGAATATAATACCCACTACATCTACAGCCATCTGATCTTTCAACAAACGTGACATAAACATAGAAATGGGCGAAAGGAATTCCTTTTTAAATAATGATGGTGCTGGAAAATTGTAGCCATAAGTAGAAAGCTGAAACTGGATCCTTTCCTTACTGCTTATACAAAAATTATTCAAGATGCGATTAAGACTTAAATTTAGACCGTAAAACCATAAAAACCCTAGAAGATAAA